GGACTTTGTATAGGTTGTAATGTGGCCAGAGGTTAGTGGCTAACGAAATGACGTCAATAGTATTCAAAAGCTATCCCCTTTTTAATGTAGTGTAGCACACCTCTTCTTGTTTTTCGGTCTTTTGCCTAGAAATGATATTTTTTTCTTTCATTTTTTCTCATTTTTCACTTTCTTGGAAATTCCCTATTTTTTTTTCTTCATTGAACAGTAGCCACCATCCTCTTTTCTGTTTTTCTTGCCTTTCTATGTCATACCAATTTATAAGAGGGTGCAAAAAATGGATAGCAAGGTATGTTAAGTGTATTTTCTTGTGGCTCGGTTATCATATGAGTTTTTTTTTACGAAAAGAAATCCTCATTCATTGAAGGCTTAAACATGGCTAACTAGGGATATAATTTTGTAGAAGCAATGACTAAGGCTCAAAATCAATTCAAAGATGACCTAAAATCCTTTCTCAAATATGTGCCTATGTATGTGTCGCATGCAAAGGTTCCATATCGGATATGTCAATAGATTACTTTAGTTGCATTTAATCAAAACAAGTTTAATGAGAATATTCAACAATTGAAAGTGAAAGAGTTTACTTGAGTAAATGTTGATTGTCTCTCAGAAAGCATCGTAAGACTCAAAACTTATCATGATATTCTTCGTTATCTTCACTGGTTATATCAGGTTTCCAAAGAATGTCAGTTATATTATAATTCTATTTTCGAGTCTAGTCATTCTGTACCTTAAGATTAGCAAATACCAATGTACATTTGACATTTAAGCATAGAAAAAATATCATTTTTCAAGAAAATGCGGGTTTTTTTTTCACTCGAATAAAAATCAAAGTTATTTATATTCACATTTATCTATGAAAATTAAAAAGAAAAACTATATGCACACATTAAACTTGGAAAACTATGGCGTCTCAAGATAAGTCCTTACCAGGTTGGCATTTTAGGACAATCCTTACTCGGCCCACATCTTTATTTCAACAAAAAGACTTTGTACATAAACAAATATTTACACAAAAAAAATAAATTTCGGACCATTAACCTTCATCCCCAAAACACATTTTTCCACAGCTTTGTCATTATTAGTCAAAATTTTATCTGAGTCATCGCTTATGTCTATGTCATTATTAGTGACCCTTCCCACTTCTTGTCACACATAACATGTAAGTCCCGAACTAGTATAAGATGGCGTGTCAGGAAAATCTTTACTCTACCCATACACTATCCAGTTTAATCGATTAGTTACACGATCCGAAATTGGTTCAGAACACTAATTATATTTTTTCATGTGAAAACACCTGCCACATTGTTTACAAGCACCCAACCGTTTGGCACAACGACGTTTAGCAAAAGTACTTCTGCCACACAATGGTTTTGCTTGTGCTTTTCCAATTTTAATTTTTCTGACCACTCTTGCTTTTCTCATGATCACAGCATGCACATCAGATGGAAATGTGCGCAAGACTCCCAAACTAAACCAAAAAATTTTAACATCCATGCTTTCTATGCTTTAAGACTCACTATCTGGTTCTTTAACATCTGTCAGTCACAAAGATAATTGAAGCTGTATTTGATGTGATCACGAAATATAAGCAAAAATGTTGTAAAAATACGCAATTCAGAACAATCTTTTTTTTTTAAATACGAAACTATAACAAACGAAATTATAACAAACTGGAATCGTAGATCACACCCCCCAACCTAAACCGAACATTGTCCCCAATATTTCGAATTTACCAGTGTGTAGAGTTTGAAGATCAAGTTGTAGGGTAGAGATCTGTTCAACTGTCGAAACCTACAAAGAAAATATACAAATTAATCTTCTCTATGCAGATCTGGGTGTTTGCTAGGACGAAAACCCTTGATTTTAAATGCAGACAGAAGAAGAAGAGTCATGTACAAATAGAGTAAACAAATGCCAAGCATGAGACAAACAATTGGGTCTTTAGGAAATATGGTCATGGGATTGTTGGGAGTTGGGTCGTGTTATAGAGAATAACACAACAGAAATAAGAGAAGAAGACGAAGAAAGAGGGAAAGACGGTGGGTGTAGAGATCTGTTTAGCTTCCGAAATCAACAAACAAAACACAACAATTAACCAACTCGAGAAAGATTTGGGTTAGGCTGGAAACCCCTCACCCTAAGTGTGAGCAGAAAAAGAGCACCCATGAACAAATACAAACATAAAAGACAAATTATTAAACAAAAGACTGAGTCGTCAGCGTATGTGGTCATGAATTTGCAGGGGGTGGGTTGTTTTTACAAGGAACAGAGAGAACGACGAAGAAGAAGAAGAAGAAGAAAAAAAGAGGAAGAAAGAAGAAAAAAGAAGGGAAGAAAAAGGGGGGAGACCAATCACTGGTGGATGGGAGAAAATTTTTTTTTTTTGAAAACCTTATAAAGGCATCCCATTTTTTTTATTTTTTTTATATATATTTTTTTTGAGTGTCGGCAGCCACATATCCGCGCGAAAATATTCCTTTTTTTTTTTTTTAAGTGTCGGTAGCCGCATATGTCGGTAGACGCGAATATCCGCGCGAAATATTCCCACAAACATTGGTGTAAGATGCAAATAATGCAACCTCAACCCCCAACTTGATTCATGCATTGTCCTCAATGAAACAAAAAAAGTATGATATTCAATGACAGACAGTAAAAAGATTAGTAGGGTTAGAGAACACCTCGCACTTGAGTTTTGACAAAAACACCAATATTTGCGACTAAGAAGAACAAAACTATACGACAAAAGAACATAATTAACATGGAATAAAAAAAAAGTAAGTAAATAAAAGCCTGTACATTGAAAAGCAGAAAAAAAAAAAAAACTAATTATTCCTTCACAACTTCCGGGTATACCGGATCCATCAAATTCTCCTCCACCACTTATTTTTCAAAGCCCCCAATAAATGGCTTAAGTCTTTGGCCATTGACCTTGAATGTCTGGCAATTTTTGGGATTTTGGACATCTACAACTCCGTTGGGGTAGGCCACATTGACAAAATATGAGTCATCCCAACGGGATCAGAGTTTGCCTTGGAAAATGGAGAAGCGAGAATTGTATAAGAGTACTTTTTTACCCAGGCTCAAATGATTTCCTCACAATGGAGTTATCATGAAAGATTTTGGCCATTTCTTTTGAGATTTTGGAGCTCTCATACGTATCTCGTCGAATCTCTTTCAACTCATTCAGCTCTAACTTTCTACGATCACCGGCCATTCTCAAATTAAAATTTAAAGTCTTAATGGCCCAATAGGCCTTGTGTTACATTTCGACTGACAGGTGGCAAGCCTTTCCATAGACAAGTCGGTAGGGAGACATGCCCAAAATAGTTTTAAAGGCAGTGCGGTATGCCCAGAAGGCATCGGTCAATCTATCGGACCAATCCTTCCTGTTGGGGTTAACCGTTTTTTCTAGAATGTTCTTGATTTCCCTATTGGCTAGCTCGACTTGGTCATTTGTTTGTGGGTGATAGGTAGTAGATACTTTGTGAGTGACGCCATATTTGAACATTAGAGATGCAAATGGCCTATTACATAAATGTGATCCACCATCACTTATTATTGAACGAGGCATCCCAAACCTCGAAAAGATGTTTTCCTTGAGAAACTTGACTACAACCTGGTGGTCATTAGTCTTGATCGGGATAGCCTCCACCCATTTGGACACATAGTCCATTGCCAGGAGGATGTTAACATAATACATGTGGAGTCTATAAATTCATGTCAAGTTAAAGTAATTTACTAAAATATCTTCTATTGGTCGAATAGAAGAATATTTTTTGAGGTACAATAATATTTGTCTTTAATCCAAGCTCACTTTTGAATAATATTTTTTTTAAAATCTAATAACATTATTTCTCATTTTTTTGGAGATTGTCATTAGAGTTGAACTTGTTGGTCTTTTTAAATTTTTATGACTATTGGCTAAAATATATTCAAAATTTGAATGTATTCATTGTGTGTTATAAAAAAAATAGAGAAAATTACATCAAATATGTGTTACTTAATTACTTAAACCCATAATATTTAAAATATTATATACAAACATCCTAAAATTTATAAGAGTATAATATTTAGACTTTTTAAATTTAAAATATTATACGTAGATCCCTTATTAGTTATGGAATTAACGAAATCTATTAAACTATTAAATTACCTCAATTAAATATAGAAGATATCATGTTCATTACAGTTTGACCCCTTATTTAGATTTTTAGTTTTATTCTAAGAGACAATATTTTTGTATACAAAAGAGTGTTTAATTGAATTCTTTGATATATTTATACTAATTTATATTTTTCCTCAAAAAAATGATATTTTGTTTGAGTTTTATATCAATGGATGATATAATAGAATATGCAAATGTGTTGATTAGACTTATTTCATATGTTCGTATTTGATGATGAAAAGCTTGATCCAATGTGAAAAGTTCATTTAGTCCAAGATATTCTAGGTATGTCACTTTTAACTTATAAACACATTTCATACATTTGAGTTAGTTACTGGCTTAGGCATTGAAAAAATGGACCCCAAAGCTCTCCTCTCGTCTTTGGCTTCTTTCAGATGGTCAAAGTGTAATAAACTAACGTAAAGATATCTAAATTTTGGCATCAACAGTATTAATTATAATTTTTTATTTTTTATTTTTTTCAATAAATGACATAATAAAGCATAAATTTTAGTTGTCAAATTTAAAATATTTGATATTTTATTTTAAAATTATAGTATTTTTTATATAAATATAATATTTTAAACTTAAAAAGTATAAATATTATACACTTTAAATTTTAAGGGGCTAGATTTAATTTATTAATCGATAAATTAACGAATATTAATGACAGAGGCCTATGTGTTACATGTGTGTATAAATTTTAGGAGGTCTGCTTATAATATTTTAAATATTAGAAACTCAAAGGAATCGAATATAAATTTCCCCCAAAAAAAAAAAATAAGGACAAATAAAATTTTTTCTTAAAAAATGTATTTTGGATTTGCTCGGTGATTTAGGGTTGAGACAAGGGCTGCCGCGGCCTTGTTTGCTCTGCAATGGCCACTAGGTACGTAGACCCCCTCTCTTTCTATCTCTCACCCTCGAGATTCATACACCAGATTCACTTACTGACTCATATATGGCAGACGAATGAGAGCATTCAAGAGGTGGATGAAATCACAAAGCGTGGAATGCAGCGACGCACTCGACCTGATAGACGACGATCTGGAAGGCATTTCGGTGAGAACGGTGTGCGATTTGCACGAAGGTGACCTGGTGGCGACGATACCCAAGCGGAGTTGTCTGACAATCAAGACCTCAGGTGCCCGGCGATTGATCGAAGACGCTGGTCTCGAGGGCTATTTGGGCCTCTCCGTCTCACTTATGTACGAGAGAAGTTTGGGCGAAAAGGGGCCTTGGTTTGAGTATTTTCAGCTGTTGCCAGAGAGTGAGTGCATACCTTTGATGTGGACTTTGGATGAAGTTGATTCTCTTCTCTCTGGAACTGAGCTCCACAAGGTGTGTGTTGGGCTTTATTACTAAAACTTCCCTTTCTTTTTAATTTGTCAGTGACTTTTCAACCTTGACTCAAGTTTTTAGTCAAATTTGGGTCAACATTTGAGTAAAAAAGCTTAATTTGATACAAAAGACTTCAACGGAGAAACTCAAATTTAAAGGTTTTAAGTGAATGCAAACTTAAATTTAAAGGAGGATAGAAAATGACCTTTAGATTTTTAAAAGAAATTAAAATTTAATAATTGGTGATTTGAGGAAAGGTTTTGAGTCTTTGCTTTGGATAAAAATTTGAGTCTTCCTTGATTTTGTATTTAGAAAAGAGTAACAGACGTAGGTGTTTGTGCATGGTGATGGTTTTAGACTCTATCAATTTGATTTGGTTTAGTATGAAACTTAATCGAGCCTACGTAAAATAAAATTGCACAATTACCCTCTAACAAATACGATGTCTGGTAATTCAAGACACCACTTGCTAACTTTATATATTAAAAGACGTGTTTGAATTATGTCTTATTGGGCTTGCGTGGTAAGCGGGTTCGAGGGATAAATGAATGATGAACACAGCTACACACTGACACGAGCTGGTTGATCAGGACTAATACACGACATGAACTCAAATATACATGATTATAAATGAATCAGATACGGTTGAACACATACNTTTCCCCCAAAAAAAAAAAATAAGGACAAATAAAATTTTTTCTTAAAAAATGTATTTTGGATTTGCTCGGTGATTTAGGGTTGAGACAAGGGCTGCCGCGGCCTTGTTTGCTCTGCAATGGCCACTAGGTACGTAGACCCCCTCTCTTTCTATCTCTCACCCTCGAGATTCATACACCAGATTCACTTACTGACTCATATATGGCAGACGAATGAGAGCATTCAAGAGGTGGATGAAATCACAAAGCGTGGAATGCAGCGACGCACTCGACCTGATAGACGACGATCTGGAAGGCATTTCGGTGAGAACGGTGTGCGATTTGCACGAAGGTGACCTGGTGGCGACGATACCCAAGCGGAGTTGTCTGACAATCAAGACCTCAGGTGCCCGGCGATTGATCGAAGACGCTGGTCTCGAGGGCTATTTGGGCCTCTCCGTCTCACTTATGTACGAGAGAAGTTTGGGCGAAAAGGGGCCTTGGTTTGAGTATTTTCAGCTGTTGCCAGAGAGTGAGTGCATACCTTTGATGTGGACTTTGGATGAAGTTGATTCTCTTCTCTCTGGAACTGAGCTCCACAAGGTGTGTGTTGGGCTTTATTACTAAAACTTCCCTTTCTTTTTAATTTGTCAGTGACTTTTCAACCTTGACTCAAGTTTTTAGTCAAATTTGGGTCAACATTTGAGTAAAAAAGCTTAATTTGATACAAAAGACTTCAACGGAGAAACTCAAATTTAAAGGTTTTAAGTGAATGCAAACTTAAATTTAAAGGAGGATAGAAAATGACCTTTAGATTTTTAAAAGAAATTAAAATTTAATAATTGGTGATTTGAGGAAAGGTTTTGAGTCTTTGCTTTGGATAAAAATTTGAGTCTTCCTTGATTTTGTATTTAGAAAAGAGTAACAGACGTAGGTGTTTGTGCATGGTGATGGTTTTAGACTCTATCAATTTGATTTGGTTTAGTATGAAACTTAATCGAGCCTACGTAAAATAAAATTGCACAATTACCCTCTAACAAATACGATGTCTGGTAATTCAAGACACCACTTGCTAACTTTATATATTAAAAGACGTGTTTGAATTATGTCTTATTGGGCTTGCGTGGTAAGCGGGTTCGAGGGATAAATGAATGATGAACACAGCTACACACTGACACGAGCTGGTTGATCAGGACTAATACACGACATGAACTCAAATATACATGATTATAAATGAATCAGATACGGTTGAACACATACTTGACAAAGCGTCGCTCCAATTAGCTCATCTTGTTGCAATTACGTTTGGGATTTGCTAGTCTTACAAAATTTTATTACTAAATTCCGTGCATCAAATGATGTTGGCACCTTTCACACCAAGAAAGAAGGGGGCACAACATCATTTAGGCCACAATCTTAAAATTTAGTTGGTCAAATATTGTGGGTTATGCTCACACTCTCTACGAATCAGCAAGTATACTTTCTACATGATATAACAAACACATAAACTTTTAAAGTTTGGGAAATTCTATTTGTTGACCATTCTCACTTATTTGTAGGCAGATAGTTAAAGAAGACAAGGCTCTTATCTATGAGGACTGGAAGGAGTGTATTCTTCCTCTTACGGCTTCAGCTCCTTTAGTGCTTAATCCAGATTATTTTGGTGTTGAACAGTACTTGGCAGCAAAGAGTCTTATCGCTTCTCGCTCTTTTGAGATAGATAATTACCATGGATTTGGGATGGTTCCTTTGGCAGACCTGTAAGTTAAACTGTAGTGCTTCTCATGTTTTGAGGTTTTATATAAAAAAATTGTGCATCGTCTACTTAGAAATACTTTAGTTTTTATGTCTCATGGGGCTCTAATTTTTCTTTTGGCTATAGTGTGCTCTCAATTTTTGTTGAATTATGAGTCATATCTCAGTCAACAGCAAACGCCAGATCATGGTGCTTCTCTGCTTCCAGATGAAGTCACTGGCTAAGAGCCATGAAATTCAGTGTTGATTCACAAAACAATGTACTGGATGCATTTTCCAGTATGCTTTTATTTTTTATCCATCTGCACACTTACGCACAAAATGGGAAAAAGAGAAAAAATAAGATGAGTTGGTGACACGGAAGTGAAGTTGTTACGTGATTTGTATGGGTAAAAATGTTAATTGGCCTATCCAGTATAGAAATTATGCTTGTTATCTTTTATTTTTGTTAGCATTCATCCAATACTTAACCAAATTCACAAATCTTGTCTAAGCAGATGCTAGCATACACAATCAATCATTCGATGTGCTGTTTTATTAGCGTCATATGTTTGAGAACATGGTAGGCTTCCTTTTATTTTCTCCAGCTTACTTTCTTGTTTCTCATTGCTCTTTTCCCTTAAAATCGAAGATTTCAACTTGAGCCTGATATTTTCAAGTAAGTTGTCTACTTGCCACTTGATCAAACCCTCGCAGTCGACTTTCTTTCTTATTTATCCACTCGTTTTTTAAAATCTTACTCAAGGGTTTACCCGTGTCATGGCACTTCTCCAATTTTTGTCCTATGTTTTGCTTCATCCTTTAGACCCACAATTTCTTTCCTTGCACCCCCAATCCCACCAATAATGCAATAACAATTTATTCGGACAATACCCAAACCATGGAAGCATTGCAATAGGTTAGTGATGCAATCCATAAGATGCCAAAGGAAACGCAAATTCGAAGATGTAAAAGACAATGGAATTGGCTTTCCATCTAGACAAAGATCCATGTGAAACCTTGCATTATTGTATTTTGAGTCTTATTTTAAGTTAGTTTGAGTAAATTTGTTAGTATTAATATTTTGTATGTCCTTTTAATAATTTTTAGATTTAGGGGTATTTTTGTAATTTTTTGGGTCAAACTCTAGTGGATATGCTAGAATTTAGAGTTCTAGTTCTAGTCTTCTATTTTTTAGTGATTTAGAGTACTTATAATTCTATATATAGTTAGTGATATTTTTTAATAAAAGAGAGATATTTCAGAAATTTCAGCAATTATATATTTCATAAGTTGTGTGATGTAATTCTAACATCTAGGTGTGATGCCTAAGGAATCTTTGGAGTGATTCCTAGTTAAAGTTAGTATTCACAACCCTATTACTGTTCACAGCCCACCATTATTTTTATTTTACAAAATTGTCCTACATTTGTTAGCTATGAAGCACGGACACTTTCGAGAAGGTGATGTATCCGTGTTGGATACCGACACTCTTCGCATACTCGAACACGTGTGAGGTACTCTTTTATCCGTATCCATAATTAAATGAAAAAATTTTAATTTCGGACACGTGTTCGACACTTCTTTCGTGACGTGTCCGAAACTTCTTTAGAATGTGTCTACTGTCTATTACTAAACAATAAATATGTGTTGAAATGTGATTAACAAAATTTAAAATTTTGAGAACATATAATTATTAATACTAGATATGTTAAAACTATACTCCAAATATAATAACAAAAACAAAATATGGATAAAAGTTTTTAAAAAGAGTAATTGAGAAAATGATAACAATTATTTAAATTATATATTAGGTATACATTGTCAGCAAAAAAAAATTGAAGATTATTGACTACGATGATGATGCTTTAGTCTAAAAATTTATACAGATGTCTACATATAAGATTTACAGATCATAAAATATTAAATCTGTTATGAATTGCATATCATTATCATTATATTTCCGATGAATTATATAATGTTCTATATAAAATATAATTTTTTTTAGCGTATTCCCAACGTATCCGTGTCCTACTTTTTTTTAAAAATGTCGTGTTTGCGTGTCCGTGTTGTGTCATATCCGTGTTCCGTATCCGTGTTCGTGCTTCTTAGTCCGTTAGTACTAGAGATATAGAGCATGAAGCAAGAAAAAGGAAAATTATGGTTAGGCTGTTAGGCTGCGCAACACTAGGTTTCCTAAAGCTCCCCTACATCAACTGAAGCTGACGTTATCGTGACTCCCCCATTTCCTGCTCATTACAATCTCAACCCAAGTGATTAAACTCCATTTAAACCTGCCTTGCCTTTTGTATATAAGTGTTGTTTATATATTTTTGAGGAAATTTTTCTTTGACCTTTTCCACTTCCGATGGTCAGTTGACAAAAAATATGGCTAATTTGTATTACTGTGTGCTACTCTTGCCCGGATAACTTGAAGGCATACATGAACAAGACCACAATTTCCTAAGCCTGAGCCTCTGGATGTTGCACTCATGTCCTTTGGGCAAGACACTTTGAAAAAGAAAATTGTCTTAAACTACAATCCTTTTGCTCATTTAAAGAGCAGTGTGCTCTGGACTTTTGTCGCTGTGTTAATATTTGTTAACCCTTTTTCTGATGGTGAAGCAGGTTATATGTTGTCTCATTTGAGCAAGTTGTGCACTGGCTGTTAACACTTCTTCAAAACGCAGATGTGACAATTCTTTAGTTTCATGTTGTAGGTTGGTGTAAGCGTTGTAGACATGAATTGGGTAGGCACCTATGCCAGAACCTACCAAGCTACCTCTCTGCTTCACCAATGTGAATGCATTGAAAAGCTTTGACTACTTCTCCCATAGGATGACGTCAAGCAACATTCTGAGACACGAGGGAGTCTCTCTTACTAATTCTGTGGTTGGTTCCACATTTATTTTAATTTCAAGTGGTTCATCACTTTCAAGTGGTAATGTTCGGTGCACCACTTTAAGTGACCATGGAAACAACTAGGACTTACTTCTGACTGTAAAATTTACTATGCGCTTATGGTGTGCACCCCATAAATTTTATAGGCTGTGGTATGTTGATACCATGATTGTGTTCCCCAAACAATGTTATCAACAACATTTAGTCCTGTAAACTGGTAAGAAGTGAACTTATTTGTCTGAGTCTCTGGACTATTATAAAAAAATTCATGATTGATTCTTTTTCTGTTGATTTTGTTTTTGAATAAAGTTATACCCCTTAGTTATGGAAGGGAGCATATGTTGAGATTGCTCTCCTGTGTTATTGTGCAAGTTGTGGTTTAGACAAGATATATATATGACTGTCAGACAAGTTCTCTGAACTGCTTCCTTAAGATTTGCTTCTCTGTCAAGAAAACTCTAATGAGTCTAGCTATGGGCTATTGCAATATTTTGGAAAATGACTATTCTCTTATGCTTTCCATTCCTGCAAAATTATCTTCAGAGCTCGAAATAAATTCCATTGTTCACTTGATATTCTTTGTCTTCCTTTTTCCCAATTCTTGACCGATTAAATCTTTTATGATCTCCAGCTTTAATCACAAGACTGGCGCTGAAGATGTACACTTTACTTCAGTATCTTCGCAGTTTCAAGACGATGATGGTGCTGATGACAACAATAATGACGATTATCACAATACTGATGATGATAAACCACGAACTCAAAATTCTTGTTTGAGAGAGCATTTTTCAAATGGTTGTGACATGGACTCTTCTTCAACTCTGAGGGATGACCCTACAGTTTTGGAAATGGTTATTGTGAAAGATGTCAAAGCTGGATCTGAGGTTAGCACTTTCTCTATTCTTAATTGGTTTTTAATATTGAAATTGCTTGCATCCTTGATTGGAGTTATGCACAGATTCTTTCTGGCAGAACTTGAATATGAAATGTGTTGATTTGATTTTTAGCCAGAGAAGACTATTACGGGGATTCATGGTTGAAGGTACCGGCCGAGTCTGATACGACTCGGCCATTGACAATAAGATAATGGTATGCGAATCGCAAGAATGACGAATGGAACTAATATCGGCGATATCTCAGCCGAAATCAAAGAAGTCGGTAATAACTCGGTTCAATTCGGCCGATATGAATCGGAATCTTTCCGAGTCGAACAAGACATTGAAAAATTCCACCAAATCAAAGATGATAAAGAACAAAAATCCAAGACAACCTCTGTAAAAGTTTAAAAACACTATTATTTTTTCGAAAATTGACCAAAAATTCAAAAAAAAAAAAGGGATGGGAAATAAAGCAGACCCACTAACAGATGTGAAAAGTGCAGAAATCACATGAAACTTGAAGCAGCAAATACCTATAAAAACCAAGAATACTAGACATACCTGTAGATCGAATCCTGAAACATCTTCACTTGTTTTTGTGTGACGATATTCTTCGATTCTTTATTGTAACGATCTTCTTCGGTTCTTGGATCTCTCTCTTTATCGGTGTTAGTTCTTTCTCTCTGTTGATGAGGGACCATGGTCGTCTCAACACCTCTCTTTCTCTGTCGTCGTGACTGAGAAATGAGAAGACGACATCTTCATCTTAACTGAAGAGGTAAATAGGTAGGCAAAAAAAAAAAAAACTCGTTAAAAGCTGTGTGGCTTGTTTTTTTTTGACCGAGTGTTTATATATTTATATTTGTTTTAAAGATAACATAAAAGTAGTAGGTCAATTGGGTAGAGTTGCAAAATATCATGTTGTAGGTCACTGGTTCAACTCCTCAAAAGCTCCAACATGTTGTTTTACATTATTTTAGTTGCAATTACATTTAAATTACTCCATAGAGGCAGAGATGCAATTGGGTTCAATTCCTCCAGAGATGCAAATGGGTTCAATTCCTCCAGAGATGCAAATGTTACAATTTCATTATTGTTATATTTAAATTACTTATTTATTGAATAAATATTACAAGTATTGTTTTTTAATGATCAAAAAAATTATAACTTTAATGTAATAATTAGATACATTAATATTTTACAATAATAAATAAGTGGATATAAGTTTGTTTTATTTATTTATTTTTGATAAAAAATATATGTTCTATTTCAAATTATGTAAAATTAAATGTTATAATTACATTATTTTTATGGCTCAATATGTTCCTAAAATGTCTATGTTGAACATTGATAATGATAATTATTTTCAGTAGTGAGTCTATGTTTCATTTTAATTATGTTTAATGTGTTTTTGGATGTATTGTGGACATATGATGCATGAATGATGATGTTTATATTTTTAGAATTTTCTATAATTTTTTCAAAATTTTTTGGAGCTTCTATCTAGCGTTTTGAGCGTATCGGCCGATACTGCACCGCAACCGATGTGTATCAGTACCCTCCGAGTCGATGGCCGATACCACGACTTCGAACCATGCGGGGATTGACATCTATTTTAAAAATGGACATTTGGATCCATCCAGCTAAATGTAACACTGCTGTTGCCAACATGAAAAGAAAGGTTAGAAGTGATTTGCAGCCAGCTTAACTCACTTAATAGAAGTATACATATTCACATTAATTTGACTGTATTGTTAGCACCATCTTTACTGACATTATAAAGGCCACTTGGATTAATTGTACACTCCATTTCGAGTTTGTAACATAGGCTGAGGCCTTTATAAAGCTCTTGTTTGAAGGCAAAGTCTGTTTGATTTATGGTTGCAACTAGGTTTTTTATCCATTGACACATTCTTGTTTTGTAACGTGTCTGGGCGGAAAGTTTGGGTGAGCAGATATCATCATATTGTGTTCCCTTTTTGGTTGTGAAATTACTATGCATGTCACTATTTCCCCCTTGACTAGTGATGGCTTCTAGCATACAAGATCAGTTTTTTTTTACTTCTCTTTGAAGCTTTTTACTGCTACAATATGGCCATCTCCTTAATAATCCTTGGTAAATAGTATACATGTATCTCCTGCCACTTTTGATCATCCATATTTTGTTCTGAAACTGATATAGCAGAATTGCCTGAAACTAAAAAAGATGGTCAACTCTCGTATATAAGTTCCATTTTTGATTTTTTCAGGTTTTCAATACATATGGGTTCGTGGGCAATGCTGCATTGTTGCACAGATATGGATTTACAGAGCCAGATAACCCATATGACATAGTGAATTTGGATCTAGAACTGGTACTCCAGTGGAGTTCATCTTTGTTTTCAAATCGTCACAGTAGAATGAGGCTGTCTCTGTGGAGAAAAATGGATTACTCTGGTTGTGTCAGCCAGAACTCTGAATATTTTGAAATCTCGTTTGTAGGGGAACCACAAGTTGAGTTGCTGGTTTTACTTTACATCATTTTATTACCTGAGGAAGCATGTGATGAGCTCGGCCTTCTGGCATCAACTGTGGAGAATTCCAAGAAATCTAAAAGCTCTTTATTATTGGAGAAAGGCAATATCCTGTTTGCAAAATGTTCGAAGTTGAGCAAGAATTTGCTTCTGACAAAAGACGTTTGTAATGCTCTTTTGTCCCTTGCGGATATTCGAGAAAGTTGCTATGAATTGAATTCTGTAGAAGATGACATCAAAGCAATGAACACGTGTTGTCCCATAAAAGAGAGGAAATTGTACCATTCTTTGATGTTGCGTGCTAGCGAGAGGAGAATCCTTGAGAAACTGAGATCTTACGCCTCTGCTGATATGCCAACTTCTTCAGAACTGCTAGCGGAGCCACAGTCACTATGAGGGAAAAGGGGACGAAGATATGATATGCTGCACTCCAAATAACATTCAAGCTCTTCTTTGTGTTACTTTTTTTTGTGCTTGCTGCAAGTAACTGTACCAAGAAATGTTATTAGCTTGTACCATCCTGTGCAATTCTAGAAATTTTTGTTTATGTGGAATAGAATTTAATTTCTGTTATGTACTAGTCTGTTGGTCGGTTGTCTTGAAGAGAAATATTTATGTGTGGTGGTGGAAAACGAATTGACGGTCCTTTCTTGTACCCTTCTTTGTTTAATGTTGAAATGGAATAATTGCAGTTGGGCAATAGGACAAAACCAGTAACTAAACCAAAGAATTCGTGCAATTCATTCTCCTGTTCATTACCGTCGCGATATTCATTCATCAGATCTTCGTCATTACATTTACTTTTCTGATATTTTGTTGCCTTTTCTATTAACGGTTTCTGGCCATATTTTCATTTATTTCCCTTGAGTGATGCCTTTTAATCTTGTTGTTCATTCGAACTCTATGCCTCTAGAATCTTTGAAATTTCCAAATCCTTGCTGAAAAAGATTATATAAAATTTTTGATGATGCACAAAATGCGTTTATGCAACACCAGGGAAAATTCTGGAAAGACTCTTTTGTGTCTGGTTCTCATTTAAAAGCCTTTTAGAGGTTTCTGAAGAAAGGCAGACACTTATTAGTGGACTTTGATACGAATTTGTTGAGAGATGCAACACTTCCATTAAGGCATTGAACCTCTTTCACAGTGCGCGGGGGATCTTATGTCCAAAATGACTTTGATCTTGTTTAGATTCGTCTCAATTTCCCTCTTGTTGACCATGAAGCTCAAGAATTTTTTTGATCTTATGTTAAAGACGCACTTCTTAGGATTCAATTTCATGTGGTAAGACCTCAGGACGTCAAAGGTCTCCTGCAAGTGGGCCACATGGTCTACTGCGGTAAAGCTCTTTACTAATATATCGTCTACATATACCTCCATGGTTCTTTTCGATTTGTGATTAGAACATCTTGTTTACCTACTGTTGGTATGTTGCTTCTGTATTTTTGAGTCTAAAGGGCATGACCCTATAACAGTAGGTCCCTTTGGGAGTGATGAAAGATGTAGGCATCCAAGAAACTAAGCAGCTCATGGCCAACTATGGCATCAATGAGGATATTGTCGGACGAAAGGGATAGCTATCTTTGGGACAAGTTTTGTAATTCTCAGTGAAGTCCACGCAAAGACGCCACTTTCCACCAGTCTTGGTCACCATCACAATATTGGATAGCTAGACTAGGCAGGCCACCTCTCTAATTGACTCATTTGCGAATAGCTTCCCCCCTTCTTTCTCCATGGCTTGCGCCCTTTCAATTACGACACTTCTCAACTTTTTGCGGACGATTTTGTGCCAAGGATTGACATTGAGCTGGTGGGTAGCGACTTCTAGGTCAATGCCTTCAAGGTCTTCGTGAGACCAAGCAAAGACGTCAATATTCTATCTGAGAAAATCAAGGAGCTGTCGGGCTCAATCTTTGGGAAGTGAGGAGCCAATGTAGATTCTTTTGTCTGAAAATCTTTTGTTTAGGACTACTAGTGCGAGTACCTCTACTGGCTTTCCTCTCTCTAGTGTACTTTCATCTCTGAGGCCAAACACTTCCACTTGTAGGGCTTCTTAAGGCTTTTTGGCCCTCATGGAGGCAACATAGCTCTCCATAGAAGCAACTTGATCTCCTCGCATTTCTCTAATTTTGCTTGGGGTTAGAAAACAGAGAATGAGGTGATAGGTAGATGGCACCCCCTTCAAGGTGTTAAGTGTGGGACGCCTTAAGATGATGTTGTAGGTAGATGGGCAATCCTACACTAAGAAATACACTATTATGGTGGAGCTTCTCGGCGTTGTGCTCATGATGACTGGTAGAGTGATGGATCCCAAGGGGTACGTCATTTCTCCTGAAAATTCAATGAGAGACATCCTGATGGGTTGGAACATCTCCCTGCCAAGATGGAGCTGTCCACAAGGATCCTTCTTACTTTGTAATTGGCTACCATCATGATTAGTACCAACGGGTTATCATTGGGGTGCTGGATTCCCTCCAAGTGTTTGTCTGAGAAGGAAAGGACCTCGCCATCCCCTTGTTTGTGAGACTTCAACGGGTGAGAGTCATCTGGCTCCGAGTGTCTATCCTTTTTGATGTGTGCCTTCCTAGTTGAGTTGGAGTCACCTCTTCCCTTAAGCCCTCCGTAGATGGTATGGATTTTCTCCCAGAGGCTGTTGGTGTTTTCTCTCACCTTGATTCTAATCAAGTGGTGGGGCGTGGCCTCTGCCTGCCACATATTGTCATAGTTGGCCACGCTGTATAAGGTCATCGATATGCTTTTTTGAATGCAAATCAGTTCTTAGTGTCATGGTCATGCTTGCAGTGGAAGCGATAGTAGTTATTCGGGTTTCTGCGATTCGGGGTAGATTTCATTTTTCCTGGCCAGTGTACTATAGGGTCGTCCTGAATTTGGAGCAGCATATGCTCAACTGAGGTATTGAATGGCATGAAGGCTTCCACAATTTTCAAGATGGTCCAGTGGATCTTTTGTGCCGTCAAAGACTTACATAGTTGGCATTTTAAAATTTGAGGGGAGTGGGAAGTTAAAGACTTGAGCTTAATTGTACACCCAAATAAATACTTAAACTAAACTCTAATTACAACAATTGAAAAAGACTACTTTTTAGTTCAGGGATCCAACATGCATTCTACTGCTTGATATTATGAAAATACCACCTTAGAACAATTAACCCCCATGTTACTGAAAATTTAATCGGTAGGTTTAATGTATAAGTTGAGCCATATTATAGCAATTATAAAGTCAATCAAAAGATCTGTGCACCTTACCACAATCAATTAACACTAGTAAACCCGAAGGTGAACCATTCAAAATGTTTATTATATCTAATTTATCGGCAGGTTTATGATTTAATAAAGATGTATGCATTGAATCAAAAACATTGGCTATGTCAAGACTTAACCCGTCTATAACCAATCTTCTAATTATTACATAAATCTCAACTACGCACATCATTGTATCATGCATAAAGTACATAATAACGTATATATAAAATGGTATATAGTAATAAGTTTAGCACAGTACTCGTAACCATGAGCATATAATAATATGATACCAAACAAAAATGACAACCATCACTTAAGGAAGGTATACCAATTAAGATATATATAAACATCGGAATTTCCATTACTCAAACATTATTACACATGTCTTCACCCTTACTAAAGAGTATAGACAGACAACTCACTTTCCATTGTTATCGACAAGCAAGAAGGATAAAACAATCCCATTACAATACTATACGATTAGAAAAAAAAAATGCAAAGAATTCTTCCCCGAGGAGTAGTTGAAACACCCCCACTCTTTGCTACCAAACTATGGTGGAAAAGTGAGAGAGATTCAACCCTAAAAGTAAAAAGGAGTACAAGAAATGTAGAAGAAGAGAATTTTGGCTAGGGGTGTTTAGGGTAGGGTGTTTTTCTCTAGGACTTTGGCTCTCCAAAGGGTGGAAGGTCATGCTTCAAATGGCTTGAACGTGCCTATTTATAGGCTCCAATGAAGGCTCATGGTGGCAGAGACCCATGGCAACTAATGGGAGTGGAGTGTTACATCAATGGATCAATGGGAAAAAAGGAGAAGGTAAGGTCGTTAAGGCCACCATCTGGACGCCACCACCACCATCTGGACGGTGCTTATTTTCTGGATTTTCCTTCTTTGGCTTCATTTGCTAATCTTTAGTGATTTACCATCGTTGGGATGGTGGTTAGACTATCCGGATGGTACGTAGTTGCTAATTTTTCCTTTTTTCCTCCCTTCTTTGTTCTTCTTTCATGTTTTAACCCTCCAAGTTTCTATAATTACATACAAAACTCTACAAAACATATAATTCAAACATTAATCATAATATAATCTCAATTAATCACTTTAAATCAATTAACACACATAATTAACCCTAAAACCTAATTCATTTATTCACTTTTTAGGGTTAATCACACCCCCCAACCAAAAACTACTAGTCCCTAGTAATACAAACAAATAAATATATACAATCACTTTCATAGATTTTACGATTGCATTTAGCTTATGTAACAAGCAGTTAAATCCCTAGTGGACGAGTTTTGTCTCATGAATGTTTCCAGTGAACATACTTACAAACTTTAACAGTTAAGATAAAATAATTCATATTTTTCACATTTAAAATTAAATTACCACTCTATCCTTATGCCAGAATACCTGTCATTCCTTATCACTATAAGAGTAACACACACAATTTGTAACACTATTTAGTATATTTTTAGAAAAAAAAACTCATGTGTGTGTGTGAATTTCTTTTATTTCAAATACATTTAATAAATATTATAACCCTTTGCTAAGCTGTACAAAAATTAGCTTCGATGTCAATCCTTTCTTGGAAATCATTCAGCAAAGAACACACTCAAATTTTAGTGACTATCACTCAAAGATTACACGTGATAAGAATATTGCAAACAAAACAAAGTAATGACACATGTAATTTTCCAAAATAAGGTTATTTGAATAAAACTGTAAAACTCGGGTAAATTTGAATTTTTATGAAAAATGACAGTAATTTATCAATACGGTACGGGTTGAAAACCCAAAATTTTCTAGAATTCGAATGATGAAATAAATCTCACCATTGGATTCGTCTCACAAAATCTAGTTATCTAGTCAATTTTCGTCGAATTCCGAGTCAGTCATATTTTTTGCATTTTATGAGGCGATCGGATGTCGCGTGACCTAAAAATGAGACATGGAATTAAATTTCAAAAATTGAATAATAATTTAAAGCTAGTTGAAATAAAAATATTTTGAACTTGAACCGAAACGAAATTTATCGATTTAGGTCAAAATCGGACCCGAGAAAAGGAGAACGTGTGGCGAAATGAGGACCAAGCAATTAAAGGGTATAAATAGGAAAAAAAATAGATTTCTCCCCA